AAAAAAAAAAAAAAAAAAAAAACAGGAGAAAACAGCGAGCACACAAGCATCCAAGGAATACGACGGAAGTCCTCCATGTCGTCAATGTGATTGTCCTCACTCACATAGTCAGCATAGTAGTAAATATACATAGTCAGCATAGTAAGGAAATGTATGTAGTCGGCAAAGTAGATGCGAGCCGTGCAACGATAATGTAGTGGCATGCAAATCTTTTTTTTTTTTTTTCAATTGAAAAACGATGTATTTGGAATGCTGGGAATCGCGCCCAGCATCCCTTGCATCGCCAGGAGTGACCCGATGATATGAGCAATGCACACTGGCTGCTGGGCCATAGAAAGACTGTTATGATCTTGGTTGTCTGACGATTTATACCGCCACTCACACACAGACAGTCTCATACATGCCCAGACATGCATAAGAGAAGGGGGAGAGGAGACAGAGTCCACACTGCACACAGATCAGAGTAGGCAGCGGAATACAGCTATGCACAGATGGGGAGAGGACACATCGTGTTTCTCACTCTCTGACAAACTCCCAACAACCAATCACAAGAGGAACCTGCGAGGATAACTATTGAAATGACACTGATGTTGAGCCAACTCAAACAATTATCGTAACATAGTTTGTTCCAGTATCTCGCCACTCTCAGAACTCACACCCCTCTCTATCCTACACCCAGTTAGTCGCGCCACATCAGAATGGCCTCCCAGAGGCCAGCGCCAACCACCCTGATGAAGAACAGGTCCTGCGATGAAGTCTTCAGTGCCGCTGGACAACTCTGACGAAGGAACAGGCAGCTATGGCTGCCACCACCCTCGAGTATACAGTGTAGAGCCTCGATGTAGCCCGGCCAGACGCAGATACCCCAGGGGTAGATGCGCTGAGGATGCCCCAGCTATGGAAGACTCAGACTGGACCGGCTATAGCTGCTGTCAACAGCGAGGTCTCAGGATGCCGCCTGCAGACCATCACCGCCACCAACTTGCTTGGCTTCTCCAACCCTGCTTCGCGAGAAATGAACTGCCAAAAGTCCTGAACCGATGGGCCTAACCTATCTATAAACTACACTAGACCTAGACCGGACTGACTGACCAACCGGTACCGTTTCTGTTTCGGCCTTTCGGCCTCTACCGGACCCGGCTATAGGCTATAGGACCGTCTATCAGCATAGGCCACTTAGGGCCTGTCTGTCCTAGGGGTAGCTCGGGCCTGCTATATGCAGTTAGGGTAGCTGTAGGGATTCGAGTTAGTACTGGGCCGATATTTTCCCAGATTTGCATATATGTCCCTCACGAATTTCCTTACAGGTAGGTCTCTCGGTTAGTCCTCAGCCAAACAGAATTACGAATCTAACCCTACCGGTTCGTGTACAGCCTCGCAGTCAACCTCGGCAGTCAGAATCAGCAAGTCATTGCAAAGACGGCTTGAAGAAGCGGTAACTTAAAATTAATGCAGGCAAAAAAAAAAAAAAAAAAAAAAAAAAAAAAAAAAAAAAAAAGTCATCGAAAAAATCTGAAAAAACGATATGTTATGGAGAAACATAAATTAAACAAGATTTGCCTGAGCATTACATCCGAATTCCTTTCTAAATTTGAAATAAAAATAAAATACGGAAAACAAATACTAATAATAAAAATAAAAAGAGAATTATTATTATTATTTATTTATTATTTTTAATTTTTTTTTAAAAGGGCGGCCAGCTGTCGCATGATCCAGGCACTCCGGCCTGGTTCATGCGACGGCGTCCCTTACATCATAGAGAAACAGACATTTGGAGGAGCCAACGCAAAACCCTAGCTGCAGATAAGACCCTCAACCGTCGTCCAAGGCAAACACCATCACTACAGCCACTCAAAACATAACTCCTATTGTCTGCAAAAAAAATAAAAAACAGCAGTCGCAAAAAACGAAAAACAGCAGTCGCAAAAAACGAAGTCGTCCAACCCTAATTTCCACAATTCCGGCCACAACAGAATCAATAACAGCAGCAGCCAGTTCCTATACCGGCAGCCACTCAAAACGTAACTCCTATTGTCTACAAAGAAAAACAAAAAGAGCAGTCGCAAAAACCGAAATAGTCCAACCCTAATTTCCACAATTCCGACCACACAACAGAATCAATAACAGCAGCAGCTGATTCGTATAGCCCAACAATGTAACACAACCTGAATTCCAGCAGCTAGTTTCTATAGTCCAACAGAATCGACAAACCAGCATAAGCCTATCGATGTAATTCCTAGCAGCAGCCAGTTTCTATAGCCCAACAAAATCCACAGACCAACATAAGCCCATTGATGTAACACAAACTAAATTCCAGTAACTGCAAACCCCGATCGTTCAAACCTAGTTCACACCAGGTTCTAGGAAGCAGCATAATCCATTCATGTAGCTTGCACGGCCAGCTCCATCACACATCAGCTTTCAATCGTCAGCCGCAGGCCGCCCACAATTGCTCATAGGCAGGACATCCCCGCAGCGCCTCCGTATCAAAAGACCGAAGGGCTAAGCCCTCCATCAGGTGTGTGAATCAGACTTAAACCAGCTGAAACTCTGGCAAATCACAATGCTCGGATCCTGCCCGTCGAACGTCCGCACATCTACCACCATCCCTCTTCGTTCAAACGGGATTACTAACCCCAGTCAGCCGGGACTGGCCCATGGCAACAGCGTGTCCCACTCAGTGCCCACAAACTCAATCCCCCGCACTCCCACCACGCCAGCAACAAGCTCTGGCTAGGCGCCACCATCTTCTTGACAGCACCCATGTGATCCCCCGTTGCCCAAGCATCGCCCCCAACGGCGCCGACACTGAAACAGTGCCACGGCGTCAACAAAAATTTGAAACGGGCGCTTCGCGCCCAGCGCCCTGGCCGGCTTACGCAACGCTGCGCTAACGCAGCGCCGCTAGCCGTCCCGCTCCAGTGCGCGAGCATGTTTTCGACACCGCCATCTTTGGCGATTTTTCTTTTTTTTTTTGGCATAGCTAAATGCCCTGAAAATTTACAGATGTGTACTTCACATAATAC